TCACTTCTAGGTTAGAAATGTTTCTCCTTTTGTTAAACTTATATTCCATATACTCCGTCTTACTTCTGTTTAGGCAAAAGCCATGCGTTTATAAAGCTCGTCTCTAATCCTTCAACCTCTCATTTAAATTCTTCTTCAACTCTCCAATTAGGACTATATTAAGCATAAATCTCGATGCTAGCTCTTGGATGTATTTTATGAGTACATTCAAAATTAAAGTAAAATGATAGGGACTTAAGTTTTAACCTCGATGCAAACTTATTGTAATAGGGAAATCGTCTGTCTCGTCATCCTGTGTCTGCTCACTAGTCGATATTCCTTCATAGATACCTTAGATAACTCGCATATATGATATCCTAACTATTTTCTTACCTAGGGTTTCCTAAAAGATATCTCTAGGTACTTTATTATACGTCTTCTTCAAGAAAATAAAAATCAAGCGCTAGTCTCATTAGTCTACCAAATACTGCTCCATTATATGTCGTAGTAGATAAATTTATTACATGATCAACCTCTAATGCATAAAAGCAAATTGATTCTTAGTTACCTGAGTCTCTTTTTTTAGTATCCGTTCAATTATTATTTCTCATAACTTCATATGACTCATAAGTTTAATCCCCTATAATTTGCACAATTTTGTATATCCTCTTTATTCTTATAGATTGAAACTAAAGTGATTCTTCTCCATTTATCCGACATTTGCTTTGGTCTCATAATTTCGTGAAAGTGTTCAATACTTGTATCTTCAAAAAATTTCCACACTTCAATACTTGTGTCTTGACCAACCACCATACTGTTGAGTCTTTTCTAATGTTGAGTCCCTATCATTACTAATGTTGAGTCTGTAAGTTTAATCCCCCATAAATCTGGAGGTAGTAATTATAGTATCGATATTCTTCTCTAATGTTGAGTATGTAAGAATCTGTTAAGATATCATATCCTTTATTAAGTAAATTGTAAAAATATGTTTTCTATTTATCCTTATATCTTTTTCCTGAATCAAAATTTATCTTTTTCATATTTAACACGATTCATCTAATCCAAATATTTTGTTTTTCTTTCTCTTTCCTTAACAAGTTTATATATAAAACATTGAACGTGTGTTTAAGAAATATTGTGGGGAGTAAAGGAAACTAGTTTTTGTATGATTATTTAATGCAGCAATGCTATCTTTACACCCTTCTTTACATCTACACTGTATGCACTGTTCACAAATACGGTGAAAGTGTCATGAACGGTAAAACCGTACATGAACAGTAGTATGAACAGTGTCATGTGAACAGTGTCATATGTGTGAGCAGTATCTGTGAACAGTGTTCGTGAACAGTACATAAACAATGACTTTTAATAGTAAATCAAAGTTGGTTAATGACTTAACGACAGAAAAAAGGATGGATCAAATTTTAGTGAGTCTTACTAATAGTGAAAAATTGGTTAATATAGTGATGAAGTTGGTTAACAAAGGTCCAGATATTAAAAATAATTTTTACTAATAAAATAAAGTTGGTTAATACAATGTAAAAAGTTGGTTAATGAAGTTGTGAAATTGGTTAATAAACATTCAAATGTAAAAATAGTTTTCAGCAGTAAAACAAAATTGGTTAATATAATGTAAAAGATTTGTTAATGAAGTTATAAAATTAGTTAATAAATGTTCAGATATAAAAAAATAATTAATTTTTATATTTATTTTTTAAAAAATATTTTATTATTATAATATTTTACTGTTCACCGTATTAATGAACAGTAAAATACGGTGTAGTGTGAATTTTTTTTTAAAGTAGCAATGTATTAATTTTTATTTACCAAACAAATTAACATTTCAAAAAAAATACCAAAATGGCAATGTTTGGAAAACCATCAACAAACGTTCGCCAATTGGTTTGGCGAATTAGGCTAACAGCATCACAAGTGATTCGCCATTTGGTTTGGCGAAAGGGAGTATTTTGTGGGATTTCGCTAATTGAATTGGCGAATCAGAGTTATTTTAGGGTTTGTTGCATTTTCAATTTCCTTTTAATTATTATATAACATATTTTCGTTTTCATATTTTAAAATTTAATTGTTTTTTAATTTTAATTTTAATTTACTTTTTTGATTTAAGTTATTATTATTATTAACCATAAAAAATATAAATTTATAATCTAATTAATATTTATATAATTAATATTAATATTAATTTATAATATAATTTTTAATGTCATCTATAATATTAAAAAAATTAAGTTTAAAAGTTTAAATTAGTTTAAAAGTTGTACCCGGGATGAATTATGAGAAATGTCCAAGGCACTCTATAATTCAATACCGCAACCTAATCGACCACCTTGGGCCAAACGATGTAACCTATTTACCCTAATTTTCTTTAATGTATATGCATAAACTTCAGACATCCTGTTAAACTTTTAAACTTAATTTTTTTAATATTATAGATGACATTAAAAATTATATTATAAATTAATATTAATATTAATTATATAAATATTAATTAGATTATAAATTTATATTTTTTATGGTTAATAATAATAATAACTTAAATCAAAAAAGTAAATTAAAATTAAAATTAAAAAACAATTAAATTTTAAAATATGAAAACGAAAATATGTTATATAATAATTAAAAGGAAATTGAAAATGCAACAAACCCTAAAATAACTCTCATTCGCCAATTCAATTGGCGAAATCCCACAAAATACTCCCTTTCGCCAAACCAAATGGCGAATCACTTGTGATGCTGTTAGCCTAATTCGCCAAACCAATTGGCGAACGTTTGTTGATGGTTTTCCAAACATTGCCATTTTGGTATTTTTTTTGAAATGTTAATTTGTTTGGTAAATAAAAATTAATACATTGCTACTTTAAAAAAAAAATTCGTGTAGTGTATATGTTAGTGTAAGAATAACATTTCTCTATTGAGTGCAGATTTAAATATGTGATTATCACTTCTTTATACTATCACTTCTTTATACTATAGTATGAAATAGACCTCATTTATATGTTTGTTGTTATTTTATCATTTGTTTGATTATTAAAGACTACATGTATAGGAAATGTGTTATCAAGGCTTGTTATTTTGTATATCTTAAAATTTCACAGAAAACAAATGAAAAATTATTGAGATATTATAACATCCTCAACGGAGAAGATATATCATCATATCTTGGTATTTGAATGCGCATTTTGTTGGTTAGATTAGTCACTGAGCATTTTGACATCATGCAGAGTGAAGGGAACACATACATCTTAAAAAATACCACTTCTAGTATCTCACACATGAAGATGCTTGAACCAGAATAAAGTATCCATAAAGACAATCAAAAGCGTGCATATGATTTGAAAAGAATTCCAAATTTTACTTCACAATAGTCTTTTACCTATGACTTATCGCCAAACATGATCTTTGGCTTCCATTATCATAACTGTGAAGTTGATGCCAGTGGAGCAAAAGCTAAAAGAGTCGGCAAGAAGAAAATTATCTTCTAAGGAATGTTTGTTGGAGGAAAGTAGTGATTATTGGAAGTTCGTGTTGAATGAATATCAAACCAACAAACCAAATATGTCGTATAGGTTTGCGAAACAGAATTATGAATAGTTTTGCATAGACAAACCTGTTCATTCAAAGAAAAAAATTTAAATTTAAATTTAAATTTACTCAATATGTTTACACCAATATACAATTTTATGTGTTGTATTACATCAAATATTCAAATGGAATTAAGCATTTCAAGCCTAATTAATCTAAGCCAAAACTTCATCACTGTGTATCATATATCATGAAATCTCAATAATAATGATAAATTTGCATGATACATGTTATGGAACATAGTCATCGAACTTAATTCAAAGTGTCATCCAATGATTTTATTGTTGGGCTACATATTACAGAACATATCCCCTTCATTTACAGTTATAGATTACACTACATGCCGTGAAAATAATCAGCTCAAACTCAAACAGCTTTTAGTTAATTTTTGGATGAGCTGTGAATTTGGAAAAATCACAGTTACAAAGTGATTTTGTTAAAGCTCTAAACTGTAGCATATGCCAAAATTGCAGTGGCTCACCGAAATTTTATCATTTTCACCGTGAATCCAAAGGTGGCAGAAGAATTGGATCAGCTACTAACCATTGATGGCCCATGACAAGACAACTTTCTTAAACAGGTAACTGATGACGCAATTTTGCAATAATAAAAGGGAATCTATAGGAAAATACTTCCAGTTCCTGGAAGCATTGTAACAATATTTTTCTAGCTCTACCATCACATCTAAGTGATCTAACGCCATTGATGATCTCTTTTGTGTGTTGTCATGACAACAACTGAGGACCTAAATTAATAACGGCTCAGTGCAATCTGACTGACAACAGTTAGGAACCACCTATTATGCTGTCTACAACGGAGAATATCATGCCAGATTGATCAGCATTTTATGAATATCTGTCTCAATCGAAGTATTAAGCCGGAGCACACGAGGAGATTGTTTTCCCTTAGTACACTGGTGCTATTTAACAGTTACCTTGTAATCATTGTTCTTACTCTGTGATATAGGTTGCAACTTGCAACCTCATCAATAGCTCCAGAAACACAGCACCTGGTGTCAGGATTTTTGGGTTAGTGCATCCCCATACTTGTTTAAAACCTTGCCATTATCTCCCTGGACAGCTTTAATTTAGCAGTTAAAATTGCCAGTACTTAGTATCAACTTCCAGTTCTTTGAAAGTGAATGCTTTCATTCGATCCATTTCAATGCAAATATTGGAGGCTGCAAAAGGCATAAGCATTAGAATGTTTCTTTGGACGACGATCGCAAATTATACTTATTATTGTATGTTACCACTGTGTAATTCGCATGTGACTGAAATGTTTTAAGGAGCATCTGTTTGATTCTTAAATACAGCTCATCATGTGCATAGTTTCCCATTCCATAATGCTTAGGAATAAAGCAACCCTCTAATTCAACAAAATATTCATGTCTGAGGCCGAATGTGACTGTTTCAACGGAACTACCAAAAGTCCTTGCAAGAACAGTGGCCATCTTTAAAATGGTGAAATCTATTGGCATCTCTTAAGATGATCTCCCTTCCGGTGACTTTTGCGATCAATTTGATCGCAGAATGACAATCACCACAAACCCGCAAATTTTTCATAACTCTAATTGGCATCCCATCAGGCACTTTTAGGAGTCCGTATGCTACAGCTAGTTTTTCACTATGATAACCCAAGCTATGCGTCTTCTCTTCCTCGTCCACATCATGAAGCACAAAGCTGCCATCGGGACAATATCCAGTTTCCCTTAAAATTCCACCTAGCTTCTCCAACATTTTTGTGATAATAGGCTGTTCAGGGTGGCCCTTGCTGTCTCCCCCGGTGAACATGTGCACCTTCTTTTCCACCTCAATCCAACTAACACCAGGAAATTTGACAACACTCCTAGCATTTATCTTTTTCCTAAGTACTTCAACATCCCTCCATCTTCCCCTAGATGCATACATATGCGAGAGCAAGACATAAGGCCCGGCATTTTTGGGCTCTAGCTTCGCAAGTTTCTCTACTGCAATTTCAGCCAAATCGAGCTTCATATGATTTCTACAAGCACCTAATAATGCACCCCAAACAATAGCATCCGGTTCCATTGGCATTTTTTCTATCAGTTCCATTGCCTCATCTACCCGGCCTGCTCGGCCTAGCAAATCAACCATACAAGCATAGTGTTCGATTCCTGGCTCTACTTGATAAGTGCATTTCATTGCTTCAAAAAACTTGAACCCTTCCTTCACTTTGCCGCCGTAGCTACAAGCTGAAAGAACTCCAATGAAGGTAACCTCGTCTGGCTGAATTCCAGACGTGCACATATCACGGAAAACAATCAGAGCATCCTCTCCCAACCCATGTTGAGAATAACCCGTGATCATAGAATTCCACATGACAGCATCCTTAAATGGAAACCTATTAAAAATCCTTTTTGCTCTAACAAGATCACCACACTTAACATACATTGTAATCAAAACCGAGGCAACATATAAATCTTGATCAAATTCAGATCTAACTAACCGAGCATGAACCTGCCTGCCGTGATCAAGGCTAGCTAAACTGGCACACACAGAAAGAACACTGATAAACGAAGGAAAATTCAACTCAACCCCTTCCCTTTGCATCCTAACAAACAAACCCAAAGCTTCCAACTCAAACCCTTTCCTCTCGCACACCTTAATCATAGCATTCCAAGTTCCTTCATCCCTCTCTTTCATTCCCTCAAACACCATCCTAGCTCTATTCACCTCCCCAGAAGCTCCAAACCGTGTGATCATCTCATTACAAGCAACAACCCACTTCACCGGCATCGCTTCAAAAAGCTCGAAAGCCTCCTTCATCCTCCCACTCTGAGTATACCCCATAAGCATAGCCGTCCAAGACACCTCATTTCTCCCAGGCATCACTTCAAAAAGCTTTCTTGCAACATCAACCCTCCCATTCTTTGCATACCCAGAAACCATAGTAGTCCAAGTAAACACATTTCTCATCGGCATTTCATCAAACAGTTCACGAGCTTCATCCAAACGTCCCACTTGACAATACCCACTAATCATGTTAGTAACCGCCACAACATCCTTCACAGGCATCATATCAAACAGTTTCTTTGCATCCTGAAAACGAGATTCTTTCAACAACCCACCAATCATAACAGTCCACGACACCACATTCTTCTGTGGCATTTCCCAGAAGAGTTTTTCAGCTTCTTCAACCATACCATCTTGAAGGTAACCACGAACCATGGAAGTCCATGAAACAACATTTCGTTCAGGCATAACGTCGAACACCTTCCTCGCTTCAGCGACCATTCCGTTTTTCACATAACCCGAAATCATGCCGTTAAAGGAAACAGTGTTTCTTTGGGGCATTTGGTCGAACAGAAGGACGGCGTCGCGAGGTTTGTGAGATTCGAAGTACGCAGCGACCATGGCGTTCCAGGAAGTGATGGTTCTGTGTGGCAATGGAGTATTGTCGAACACCTTTCGAGCATTGTCTATGTCACCTATGCGACCGTAACGTGAAATTGCAGAAGTGGTGCTACAGAGTGATCTCACTTGCACCATGCAACAACGCAAAGTCCCACTACCATAACCCATGTGTGTTTGTAATGTAATCGACGAGGACAAAACATATTACTATGATTCTATGAAGGTTAATCTAGTAGAAGATTCATGCGTCCTACGATTAAATTTATTTATAAATTATGCAAAATAAGTTGTAATAGAAAAATGTTAGTTAAAAAGCAATCTTAATAATATTGAGATGCATAATAAAAATCTAATATTCATTGTTTGAAGTATAATGAAAGGATGTTTTATTAAATAGAAATGTCATAAATAAAATGCCCACAATCTCATTTCATAAAAGTGAATATATTCAATTTCGTAAAAGTACAATAACTATGTATAATAGAAATATAGTATGTCCACCAAAGCAAATCAAAAAATAAAGTGTAAATAAAGTTGTAGATCGAAATTATATAGTAAAACTTGTATAAAGCAACTGTGGGGTTCACAAATCCTACAAACATGTAAAAAAAAAAAAAAAGATAATTAATAGAATGTTAGAGTTATAAAGGAAAATGTGAGATACACTTTAGATGAATAGTCCATAATACCACAACTACATATGTACTTTGTAAATCTATTTCTTCCTTACAAATCTATGTTGTGCCACATACAAAAATATATTGAAGGCTTAAATACATTCATAACTAAGAAATGCATTCACAAGTATATCACTCTAATGATGTGCAAACAGTTACTGAAAAATAAGAGTCATACATGGTTTTGCTAAAGCTATATGATTTTCTATAACATACTTGATTGTTGGATAAGTTTGAGAGAGATAACAGGCATTCAAATGACTTATCAAATAATCTCGTTTTGGAAATCTAAGAGAGTATGCTCATATTATGTTGACTTTTCTGTTCAAAAAAAAGTCAAAATGTTGTTACAATAAATTTGAATTTTATTTCCCCCACAAAATAGGAACTAAAAACAAACCGAACTAGTTGAAATTAATAGTTTGGTTGGAAACATACTCTGACACATCATGGACTGAAATGGCGGCTAGTGCAGGCATTGTATGAAAGCCATCATGAACTACACGCAAAAGATGTTTGAAAAATATGTCAAAAGCAAAAGAGTAGAGTAACTTGCAACATATCAACCTGCGAAAGTGGCATATTATTTGGATATAGCTGAAAAAGGAACTAATTCAAAGTATAGTAGGTTGTAATGTACATCAAAAAGAACCAGTATTGCAAATTGTAGTGTAGTATATTATTAAAACCAAAGGTCTATATTATAATATTGTAGTGAAATGCAGTACACATATGGCAGCAAATCAATGACATGACCAATGCTGAGTTGCACCTTTGATTAAAGCAAAATGTATATCTTGATACGATAAAGCATAAAAATTTTCATGAAATCTGCATATAAGGACGTTTGGATCAGTTTGTACCAAGTTGTTCAGAATTGCAGGACATATTAGAAAGGGAAAGGAGTATTAAGAAGAAAAAAAGGGGAAACAATGAAATGTGTGAAATGGGGAGGGGAGTATTAAAATATGGTTGTTCCTTATCCAAAAACATCCTACAAATTAATAAAAACCACAAGAAAATACACGTTTTCCATTTAATATTAAAATATAAATCCCAACAATGAATAAATTGGTATGAAATTCTGAGCACTTAGATAAATGGATAGATGCAGGTTTAGAGGTTTTCATTTATAAAAGACAAATACAAATGAAAATTAATAAGATCCATTTAAATAAATAATAGACTTTACTAATGAGTTTTACTTTAATAAATGACATTGAGAGTATTACTTTAAAACTTAGGCATGTAGTGAGCATTAGCAAGAGTCATATATTTAGCACAGGTCCAAACTGTTCAATACATATATTTAGCACGGGATTATTTTAATATAACCTCAATGTCATGTATTGATATTAGGCATGAACTGTAATAACTTGAAATGGTGGCTACTATCATGGGATTTAATGTGGCATAAAAATGAGTTTCTTACATGATTGAGTGTTGCATGGGTCTTGATAGTGGCTTAAAACTGTAGTTTGATATGCCTATGGTACTCTTATAATTTTGTTCACATAATTAACTTAATGAACAATGAACTGTTTGAATACTATTGTACCTTTGATGTCATTATTGTTTTCCTTAAAATAGGATAAAGTAAAAGTTGTGTATTATATTATGGGTGATAGCCTGGTAGGTGTTTCTATCAGTCTCTCTTGCATATGTAATAACAAACTATGGAATTTAAGGCATAAGTGACAAATCAAAATGGGTACATTAAGAATATGCAAATGACATATATATTTGGCGGAAAAAACGTTAAAATGATATTTTGAGTGTGGCATAAAAGTGAGTTTCTTACATGATGAGGCTGAAAAATAAATGCTAGCACAATATTTTTACTTCCAAGTATTCATTTTATTTGAAAAAAACTTAAAATAAACAAAGTCGTGATTGGTCCATGCTCGTTAAACACATTCCTGAAATGATCCTATAATGATGATATACTATATATGTTCATTTTCTCACTTTGTAAAAGAATATCTTCATAACCTCATCTAAAAAAATGACATGATTTTGGCAAGTCATGGAAAAACAGTCTACCATTTAGAAATTTTCCACTGCTAATGTTGAACTGAACATCATTTTCTTACATGATGAGGCTATTACAAAAATAAAATCTATAATAGTTAACATTCATAGCAAGTGCATACTATAACCTCATAACAGATTGAGAGTATTACTTAAAAATATATGCATGTAGTGAACATCAACAAGAGTGATCTTCAAACATGTTGTTAATGATAATTTATTATCAATACTAATAGATTATCAAAAGCCACATTCCATATTGTAGACAATAACAAAGTCATTCCCAGAAGCATCTCAATGTCAATCATTTTCCAATAACATTAGTTACAGAATATTGTGATCCATAGTCAAAGGATGATGTTGAGCATTAAAAAAAGTGCAAAAAAAAGGGACTTCTAACTACCAAACAGATCGCTGTTGTACCAAAATAAGTCAATATGATGTTCTTGAATCATTCCTTCTTAGCATGCATCAAAATCGTCATTGCAGATTGTTCCAAAGATCAACAACACAAACGACAAACTTCTAAACACCGTTACCTTGCTTCAAAACAGCAATCATAATGGGTGCTCTAGACATGATTAACTGAAAAGTGACATAACACAAAAATCATGTGTTAAACAACCTAAAGTTTTAAACTTTGACCCAAAGTAATATTTATAACATGTAAAAAAATAAGAATGGAAAGCGAAATAGGACCTTTCAAGAATGAAAAACTTTTAAGAAACTATTATGTATGTACTTTTAAACTTTCAAAAGCTGAAATATGAACATAAACAATACAAAAAGTTTCTAACTTTCAAAAAGAACATGAGCACAAAACAAAAAAGATTCAAAACTTTCTAAGAAAAAACATGAACTTGAGCATTTATAAACTTATTAGTATGGCACAAAACGATTATCAACAAAACATGAACCTGAAACAAAACGATTCACACAAAACAGAACCATGAGCACAAAGCAAAAAAATCAAACTTTAAAAGAATAAACTTGAACTTCAACAACTCGCCAACTTTAACGTTCACGTGTAAAGCAAAATGAAACTAAACGATGCGAAAAAATAAACTTTGAAATGGAAAACAGAACCTTGTTGTCATCACAGAAAAAACCATGAACACAAAAAGAAAAAAGTAGAAATGATGCAAAGAATAAGGTTGAACTTCCACAACTAACCAACTTAAACGTTCACATAGAAAGCAAAATGAAACTAACCGATGTATAAAAAAATAAACTTTGAAATGGAAAAGAGAATCTTGTTGCTTCAGTTGTTCGTTTGTGAGAAAGAGAAACAACACTGCGAGAAACTGTTGCGAAATCACTGGGATTGTTGGTGGCTTCCAAGAAGTGTTCTTAAACTTTATTCTTAAACTTTTAGGAGAGAGACGATAATAACCAAAGAAGTGTTTGTTATAAAGGAGTATAAAATAGAGGAAAAACAATTGTAAGAGATCGAAATAAAAATTGACTAATTGAAAAATGACATGTGGAAGAAAGAAAGGTTCTCAAAGACTCTAAGAAAGGAGTATTTGTGAATTACTATAATAACCTTGTTGTAGGCAAAAATAAATTTAGTGAAAAGGGTAAATTAGAAAGTATGGTGGCAATGAATAGTAATGGTAGGTAGTTGATATGGAGCCAACTTCATTACCCATTAATAAAAAAATAGATAATTTTAGAGGAATTTTTAAAACATCTAATGAGTTTCTTTTCTATCGTGTGGTTTTTCACAAATGTTTTTAGATTCCGGAGACATATGTTCAGACGTGCTTCATAATTTAATAATATTCCGGAGATATATCTCTTGAACTATTTAATCCTCAAACGGTCACAACATATCTCTCATAGCCCATTTCCATTTGAATTTATCCGGAGATGCGTTTACGGGAATTTTCCGAAGATACATCTCCAAAGTGTTTCAGAACAGTTTTTTAAAACGCATTGTGTATTTATTCGTAGATGAATTATAAAATAACAGACACACCAAAATAACATGACAATATAGTAATAGGATGTCATATGTCACGTAAATCCAAAATATAGTAACAATGTCAGGAAAAACGTACAAACTATAGTACGACAACAAAATAAATACAGATAACTATTTGGTGTGCTTGACAACCTCTCCTCCGGCTCTTGTGCATCCTCTACCTAGTCTGCCCCTCAGTCATCGATCCCCCCTGTCCTTGTGCGATATATGTTGTACAAAAGCGTCATTTGTGCCTCCGCAATAATATCATCCAATACTCGCATGACAGCAGACCCCTCAGGGAAGATACCATCGTCAATGCATGTTCATGCCATCTCAATTATGCAGAAACAACGAGGTAAGACATACTCAATATGATCCATTTGAGCCTGCTGCTCCTCTAAAATCTCCTAATGAGCGGGTCTCGATGGATCTCCTAGAGCAGTCAGCACAATGTACGGATGTTAGACCTGAAGAACCACCTAATGTATACA